ATGAATCGCCGGTCAGAGCCGTCGCTGCTGTGGTCAACGTCGGAGGTTGAAGATGACAAGTGGGACCCGGTTGTCCGTGACTCAGCGTTCAAAATAGATTTTCTATTTTTCTGAAATAAGTGAATAGTGTCTGTTTTTGTTATTTTTGTGTAGATTTATTTAGAGCTCCAAAAATTATGAAAATTTTTGTGTGACTTCTCTGTGATGTGTATTATTTAGGAAAAATATGAAATGTTGATTTTCAGTAGTTTTTGAATGTGATAAAAATTGCTCAATTAATTAATAAATGAGTTTCCAGGATTTTTCTAGGCTTATTTATGTATCCAAAAATTATGAAAATTGTTTTGTCACTTAGTTATCATGTGATGAACATATACAAAAATTTTTAGGTCAATTGGAACAAGTTGATTTATTTCATAATTATTAATTAATTAATTAATTCATAAAAGCAAATAGTAACCTTTAGTGATTTAGGTTTTGTTTGAGTTTTTGATTAAGTGATATCCTTGGGTCATTAGTTGGTAATGATCCTTGACAATTGTTGTGAGTGTTGCGAAAATGGTTTAGTTAGTTTGACTTGTAACTGTACCGCGAAAGAAAGTTGTATTCAAGTGTTAAATTTTGTATCCATCATCGAGCACCATGTTTTGTATTCCGCATCATGTTAAGCATGGCATTGTTACTACGTGTAGTGAACGAAGGTGAGTACGTGGTAGTTAATCAAGTAGTTGAGGAGGTTGATCCGTCTGTGGAGGTTGGTGTTGATATTGGTGGAACGACTCCGGACCCGGACTTTTCCGTCAACGAAGGCAAGCCCCGGATGCATACAACCCTACCTTGTATTTTACAAATTGATTTCGCTTTTGCTTCTTTTTACTGCATTAAGTGATTAGGAGTCAAGTGAAAACCAAATTGGTACCTTACCAACCTTGTTATTCCATATTTACCATATTACCAGTTTTAAATTCGTATATGCCAGTTTTGCTTAGCTATGCTTAGAACGGTGAAAGTCGGGTGATTACCTGTCATCTGCAAGTTTTAAATGGAGCTTTGGTTAAATATATTAACATGTGATATGGGAATGTGGAGTAATAAATCTAGACCGGGCGGACTCGGTGGGTGTGAGCCACAAGACATGGAGGTCTTGTGAGCAGGTTCTTTCTGCCTGTGTCGATTAAGGTCCGTCCGTTGTTGAATTGCATAAGGTGAGACTTTGTAGTACTAACCACATACTTCGGTAAGCCTTAACTTGGTTATTCTATTATGAGAATGGCTACTCGCGCACTGGGAGTGGAGAGATGGCGGGAATAGCATGTACCCACGTGGCAATGGGCTGGATTGGTGGAGTACTATATTCTCGGGTGGCGCGGACCCGTTCTTGTTTTAGAGGATCCGAGGGTAGGTTGGTATATGTAGGTCGGGGACCTACATATGTCGTGTGGTCTGGAATTCCCAGCTGGGTTATAATCGGTTCGAATCGTCGTTGCTCCTCGGTTATGGAGACTCAACTCACTGTTCATCATCGTAGTATTAATAACTGGAACTTGAGGATGGTTTGAGAAGGTGTTGGTTACGAAGTTTCATGATCTCAATACGGATCGTGTCAGCTTTGTATATGATCTTTATGAAGTTTTAAACGTTGATATAAAGAATTTTGTTAAAATGCTTTTACGCAAAAAGAATCTTGATTATTGCTAAAGCCATACCTTGAATCCCATGAGCCTGCATTCCTGTGTTCTTTTAAATTCTTATTTCGGTTAAGTCTTGTTGAGTACTTTTGTACTCAGGGTTCGTTGACCTTTGTTGCAGGTGAGGCTCATGAGCAGATCTGTTTTGGATCGTGCTGCATGACTGTTGTTCAGTGCGATGACGATAATTAAATGTGTGGCCCTTGGGCAGGGCAGCTTATGTTGTGTGTTTTGTAATATATTATAATGCCACTCCACTACTTTGGTTTGTTTTATTATCGAACTTAGTTGTATGGTTTGAAACAAATGGTTTGTAAACTATGTTATTGTAAGTCTTCCGCTACTTTTACTCTGATGTATCTATTTGAATAAACTGTTGTAATACTGCAATGACTCTGTAATGTGATCCTGCTCGAAATCGTGGATGATTCGGGGTTACCCGAGGACACCCGACAGTCTTCTTAAGTTATCGGGAACATATGTATAGATGTCAAAGGTCGTTGGACAGTGACAGGTGCATGTGGGCCCTATAATTTAGGAGGTTCTGCCACACTGTCCATGGTTTTTCCTCGAAGAAAGGCAACGAGCCCTTGGCACCAGTCGAACGGACCCAAGAACTATATGGATTGGCCGCCAAGAGTCTGGAGTCGATCACCAGCTGACCCATGCTGGACCCCCACGAACGGGAAGCCGGGGCCCCACTCAGACTAGCCCGTTAACAGCTCACCGAGCACCATGTTTCTTCAATCGAGAAAAAACATGGCACGACTCAACCACTCCATTTTATCGAAAAAACGCTTGAGGGATGACGATCACAAAGACGAGCCGACCCTCGACCGGACCCCTGCTATGCGTGGGGGCTCGAGGGAAGTTGGACTCGCAAGGAGACCAAACGCGGGGTCGCAGTACGACGACGGACCGATCGGATCCTAGGGGACCGAAATCAAGAAAAATCTTTCTGACCTCCCGAATCCTACGGTTACATGCCCCAAGAAGACCGATCGCGACAAAAGGGAATCACCATCCTACCAGGACACGCCGTGGGTTACAAAAAGAAGGCCAAGGCCCTCAGAGTCCTCCTGTCCGAAAAAGTCTCCAAAGGAGTATTCTATTCCTCCGCAGGCTCGGGGGTTACTATCGGGAATCGATATTAGGGATACCCAAAGCAAGGAAGTTAGCGCCCACACTGACATCTCCGGATGGCTCGAGACGTATTAAAAGGTCTCGCTCGACCCCAAGGCCGTGTGCTCCGTCTCGCCCGACCTCGAGGCCGCGGGCTCCGTCCCTATTGACATCTACAGGATCGGCGGGACCCGCATGAAGGAGAAGAAGGACCCGACAACCCTAGAAACTTTCTTCTCTCTCGTTTTTCTCCTTTTTCTCCTCTGTAACCCGCGCTTTTCCTTCTCCTATAAAAGGGGAAGCAGGGCGCCCCATGAAAAGGGAGATCGGGACACAAGAGCATGACATGAGCACACGGCTGAGCGGCAAGCGAGCTCTCAGCACCGGTTCACTCCTTCCACCAGAGACTTGGGATCCTCTCCCTCTCTCGCCTGTTTGTAACCCCTACTGCAAACCAAGTGTCGATAACACGAGCAACAGCGAACTGGACGTAGGGACGTTCCGCCCGAACTGGTATAAAACCTTGTGTCCTCCGAACACATCATCTGAGCCAGGCGTGCGAATACAAATTTATTCATCGGTGGTCCGAAAACACCGACACTATTCATTTTCTCTCTCTTTCCCTCCTCTTCTTTATCAACTCCAGCGAGTTTACAAGGGGCTTAGGGGAGGCAGGCCACCCAGACAGTGTGAGGGCAGCGGTTAGGGTTCTAGCAGCTTATGAGGCGGTCAAGCCAGGTTGGGGTGGGGGTGCCCATGGCCATAGCGGCGTGGGAGAGGGGCGGGAGAAGGACGAGGTTGCCGTGGGCTGTAGGGTCTCGCTGGAGCTCCGCGGCTCTGGGGCGAGACCCTACCGCCTGTAGCGGGTCGGTGGGTGGTAGGCGTCCAAAGGGCATCGGGGAGGTGGGCGACGCGGCCGACGGCGGGGGTGGGCGTGCGAGGAAGAATAAGGTCGCACGATTCTCCAATCGGGTGACCGTTCATGCCTTAACTTCGTCCAAGTGGAAAGCGACATGGGGAGAAAAAAAACTAATGGAAAAGCAAATCTACCAAAACATGAATTGTTACTAACTGCTTGAAAATGCTTTCCGTAAATGATCCTGTCGCGCGCGCGCGCTCGCTGTCGCTGTTTTTCTTCTTTCGCACTCGTCCGGTCCTACTCCTGTCCCGGTTCTCCAGTAACTGTTACTGTACCCCGACAAGTGCCCGCAGCATCTCGCGCTTTACCCGGCTGGACGTAACTCTTGGTCTCTTGCTCCTTGCGCCACGCCTTCACCTTCTCCCTCCCTCCGCCACGGTTCACACAGGACAGACAAGCAACCACAGCCTCACCTCAGCTAGCCTATATATGTCCGGCACCGATGGGAAAAAAAGGCGGATGGAAACAGCACTGCTATGCCGTCCTCTTCGATCAGTGATCACCCACCCCACCAACGTCGTACTACAGAGCCAAGAGTAAAGTAGTCTGGTGTGGTGTGCATGGCGGGCGGGGCCAAGGCACGGCGGCTCTTGCTCGCCGGCGCTTTGCTCCTCCTGAGGCTGCTCGATCTCCCATGGGCCACGGTGGCGGTCCGCAGGAGCGACTTCCCGGCGTCGTTCCTCTTCGGCACGGCCACCTCCTCCTACCAGGTGATCCCACCATCGACCTCGATCTCTCGTTTGCAGGCGCTTGTGGTTTCTTCAGTTATTCGTATGAGAAGTGGAGAACTTAGGCAGAATCGCATTCGCATGGACCATCTATCCATCGGTCGTTCTCTGTCTCGAGGAAGCTGGAATATGTACTCCTTCTACTGGGCTTTCTTGGGCTCTAGTGATTACAGGCCCACGTACCTTGCGTTGCACAGCAGGACTGAGGGATTATTGCTACTGATATGACTATACTACCTAAGAAGATGGACATGGTGAAGCAAAAAAAAAAAAAAAAAAGATAGTAGTTCAGTAAGCCGTGCTGACCGATGTAATCTTGTTTTCACTTGTAGATCGAAGGTGCGTACCTCGAGGGCAACAAAAGCTTAAGTAACTGGGATGTCTTCACTCACATACCAGGTAAATCATTCAATTTCCAAGCGAGAGCAGAGCTACCTCCACTCTGTTAAGCTGAACTGCCGTCGTCCTGCGCCTGCCATGGATTGCAAACCCATATGCTATATATGTGACATATACAGTAGTAGTAATAGTGCTATGTTTCAGGAAGAATCGAAGATGGAAGCACCGGGGATACCGCGGATGATCACTATCATCGTTACGAGGTACTAATATTACAATAGTATCATTGCATTGACTAAAAATGATTCCCCTGTTTTTCGATAAATTACGCCTTAAGTGCCCCAATCTTGCTTCTTCGCAGGATGACATTGAGCTCATGCACTCTCTCGGCACGAACGCCTACAGATTCTCGATATCATGGGCCAGAATTCTTCCAAGTGAGTTTATTCTACGGGATGTTTGGGATTGCTCCACAAACTTCACCGAGCAGTCCCAAACACCCCTGATATGTGCTTCAAAACTTCTGTCATTAATTTCTCAGTCGATACTCGGTGAAATCTTTGCAATATCTTCTTAACCCCTAAAAAAATGTTTCATTTGCCGAGGGTAGAAGGAAGATTCGGCCAAGTCAACCCGGAAGGCATCGCTTTCTACAACAAACTCATCGATTCACTCCTGCTCAGAGGTATCTCCCGTAACCACCGTCACCCTTTTTTTATTTTTTATAAGATGATGTAAAGTAACATTTGCCTTCATCTGCTCACTGGAAAAACCAAACCGAACTCATTACAAGGTTCACTGCAGAAAAATCACACACTATTCTGAGACGCATTTGACTGAAAGTAAAGGATCATCCGTATAAGGAAAAAAAAATGCCCATCGCTGAATACTCCAGCTTGCAACGTGCCCGTATGATATAGACAAGCTCAGATATATACTTCCTCTCTCCATAAAAAAATACAATTATAGGATTCGTGCCGGTTAAATCAGTTTAAATTTAATCAAGTTTATAGTAAATAGTATTAGCATTTATGTCCAAGTAAATTTATTTATATTCTATAACTAATTTAATAATACTTATTTTGTATCATGAATGTTAACATTTTTTATATAAATTTAGTCGAAGTTTAAATTACTTGACTTTTTGAAAAAACGAGAATTGCATTATTTAATGAACGGAAGGAGTACATAATTAAATTATCAAAATAAAAGACTATTGCAGCTCACGCCTTCACGGTCACTTCAATCAGTTCCTAGGACAACAGATGGCGGTTCAGACTATTAATTAATGCCTGTGCTATTGATCCATGGGCCCCGTTTGGCTTGTTGAAACTTGGTTGAAACTGGCTGAAAAATACTATTCTGGTTGAATTGTTGTGAGAGAAAAACACTGTTCCGGCTGAAAAAACAAGCCGAACAAGCCGGTTTCTGGGTAAGCCCAACAGGGCTATGATAGCCTGCCTACTGCATACATCAAGAACAGTGCTAGTTGCTAATGATCGCATTCCAGTAATTTCTTTTCCAGCAAAGCGCTTCTAAAAGAAACATTTGACGTGCTTGTGCTAAGGACATCAACCACGATAGCATGTTTCTTGCGAACAATATTATACAAGTTTGGGTATTTTGAACACAACGAGCGTATCTCCATAACTAGATATCTTGCTAAAATCTGATTTGGGAGCCATCTTTTAAATTAATCCTTGGCAAGCTCATAAACTGGTCCTTCATCCTCACTGAGACCCAGAAACAAGAATCTCTCGCCACTTTACTTATACTAGACAACGTCTTATTTTTAATATATTTATTTCTTATATTAGTAAGTTTTTGCTAAACCCTGTCTTCATTACTATGTTTAAAAAGCCATTTGGATAAGAAGTGGGAGGCATTTATTTTGTAAATCCAACCTCTAGATACCCAAACCCTCTTGGTCCATTGGTTGGAAGACTGTAGTCAATTTGAGTAGCCTTTTTTTTTTTTGTGCTGGTCACTTTGTCATAAAAACCTTGATTACTCTTCTTGGAATTTCAAAATAAAACATAAACCTAGGTAAACTAGACAATGGACTCTCTCCTCAGTTGAATCATATCCATTGTGAGCTCCATCAATACAGAGAGAAATGAGAATTCTGAATTCCAACACGTACGTTTGTTTTTTTGCTGGATGGAGCGCAGGAATAGAGCCATTCGTGACGCTGGCCCACTACGACATCCCGCAAGAGCTCGTGGACAGGTACGGTGCGTGGCTCAGCGCCGAGGTCCGTCGCGACTTCGGCTACCTGGCGGACGTGTGCTTCGCGGTGTTCGGCGACCGCGTCAAGCACTGGGCCACCTTCAACGAGCCCAACGTCGCCGTGACCAAGGGCTACATGCTCGGCACCTACCCGCCGGGGCGCTGCTCGCCGCCGTACGGCTCCTGTGCCCAGGGAAACTCCGACGCCGAGCCCTACGTCGCCACGCACAACGTCGTCCTGTCCCACGCCACTGCCGTCGAGATTTACAAGAGGAAGTACCAGGTTAATTACTAGCTAGTATTTGATTTGATTAACCAGATATATATGATGATCGCCACAACTTCACAACGTCCTCAACCTCCCTGTTTTTTCGGTTGAAACCTGCCGCAGAGAAGGCAGAAGGGCATGATTGGCATTGTGATGGCAGGCTTCTGGTTCGTTCCACTGACGGACACACCAGTGGACCGGATGGCGACTGAACGGGCACTGGCCTTCAGTGTTCCATGGTACTTATAACAGTCTAGAGATCATCCAATGCATGCAAAACACCAGTGGATGAGCGAGCGTTTAATTTGTTTCCAATTATCGCTTGATTATTGATTGCTGCAGGTTTCTTGATCCGATAATCTACGGCGACTACCCTCCGGAGATGCGACAGCTCCTGGGCTCCAAGCTGCCGACCTTCTCGCCGGAGGAGAGGAGGAAGCTGGGTTACAAGCTGGACTTCATCGGGATCAATCACTACACGACTCTGTACGTGAAGGACTGCAAGTTCACGTCAGATTGCCCATCGGGTCAGGATATCCAATATGCGCTGGCGGCCTACACCGGAGAAAGAAATGGAGTTCCCATCGGACCTCCAGTAATAAGCAGATTGATGTCGATATGCATGCTTACTTGATGTCGATCGAGGTTCTGACTGACTGGCGTTTCATTTTGTGCAGACAGCTATGCCACTGTTCTTCGATGTTCCTGACGGGATAGAGAAGATGGTCACCTACATCATGAAGAGATACAACAATCTTCCCATGTTCCTAACCGAAAATGGTGCATCTATTAATTCAGCTTGCAGTGCTTTTATGTTCCGAATTTTCCCTGACGACGTTCAGAGTTGCAAAGTACAATAATAACTCAAAAAATTAATTTATTCAGGCTATGCACAGGGTGGAGATGGTTACAACCATGTTGAAGATTGGCTTGACGACCAGGGTAGGATACAGTACCTCGATGGTTACCTCACAAAACTTGCCAAAGTTATCAGGTCAGTTGCATTTTCAATTCAAAGTTCACAGCTTGATTAATTGCATCCATGCGTGGACGGTGGACGAACTGTTTCCCTGCTAGCTAACGTATCTGAGTGAAATTGATAGGGACGGCGCCGATGTTCGAGGTTACTTCATCTGGTCTCTCATTGACAATTTTGAGTGGACATACGGATACACCCTCCGGTTTGGACTTCACTATGTTGACTACCAAACACAGGAAAGAAAGCCCAAGTCATCCGCGCTGTGGTACAAACGGTTCCTCAAAAGTTTACATGAAGCTCAATAGAGGGTGCCTTGTTTAAATATATATAAGCGTGTGAGGTGTGGCGACTGAACATGCTGCTGCTTCAATTCAGAAAACGAAGAACATGATCTTCTTTGTAGGCTAGTCAGTGAAAGTTTCGTGACCTAGTTTTCAATTCACCCATATTTTAGAAACAGTGCAGAAGAGTTTTATCTCCCATAAAACTCTCTCTACTCCCATAAAACTTTTATCATCTCTCCTCATCAATATAGTGCTATATTAGAGTATTTAATGTCCATAACTTTCATGAAATCCCCATTGAGATTGTCCTAACGACCCACTCCGCAGTTGTCATCTCTGTTCGTTGCCTGAAAAAATACGACTTGTCAAGCGCGTGCGCCACGCGAGCGCAGCGGGGCGCTTTTGTTGTCGATCGCCCCCACCGGCCTGGCCGGCGGGACCCGTTCGACCGTCCTCACATGGTCGCCTGCGCGATCCGTCCAAGGAACGAGTTGCCGAGCTGCAGGATCCAATCAGATTTTCCTTTTTTTTTCCAAAATAAAAGAACAAACTTTCGCCCACCAAACAAATGTTAGTGGTAAGTAAGATTCGACCTTGTGTTCTAATCATGTGAGCCTGTTCGGTTGGCTGGTTCGTATCGTTGCTGGTTCGTGAAGAAGTACCGCTGGCTACTTTGTGTGAGAGAAAAATACTGTTCCGGCTAGAAATTTACGATCGTTTACGATAAGCCACAGCCAAACAAACAGGCTGCACTAGTATTACTTGCGGAATGGTATACAAATTCTGTACTCCCTCCATTCTATAATAGAAGACTTTACAGTATTCAAATTTTATTCTAAAATACTTGTCCTTCTCACTCCCGAATTTATTTTTCTTCTTCCCGATACAACTTTCTTATTTACCAATAATATACCTCTATCTCTATTTCTCTCCGTCTCTCACCTTCTAATTTCTATGTACGGTACTTCTCTTTTCTCCTTAACTTCCGTGTCCTGACTTAGAAGGTCTTCTGTTCTATTACGGGACATCGGGACGGAGGCCTTGTTTAGATTGGGGTTAGGAATCAGTATTGGACACTGTAGCATTTTTGTTTGTATTTGATAATTATTGTCCAATCATGGTCTAACTAGGCTCAAAAGATTCGTCTCGTAATTTACAATCAAACTGTGTAATTAGTTATTTTTTTATCTATATTTAATACTCCATGCATATGTCCAAGATTTAATGTGATAGAGAGAGTGGAAAAACTTACATGACAGCGACGCACGCGGAAAATGACCTTTCGGCGGTGCAGGCATCCGTTCCACCAATATTCAGAGGGGAACAAGAAAAAAAAGGCATCAGCTTTCTCACAGTTTAGCAGCTTTCTCACAGTTTAGCTTACAGACAACAGAAGCATCAGGTCTTTTCGGACATAGAGAAATCCGTATTATTCACTGATGGTCTTGTTCGGCAGGATTTATTGTTGCTGTAATTGATTTATAGGGTTAATTTTTTATGAGAGAAAAATACTATTCAATAGCTGAAAAAATAAGACTGACTGTAGCTTATAAGCTCAAGTGAATGGAGCCGATACTTCACTGGGCACTGCTACCTACCACTGCCACACTCCCTCCGAATTTCATATCGTCCGCAGCAAACCACTTGGTTGCTTCCTTCGGAAATTGCTGATGCAACTGCTCTATTTTATCCTTATTATTTGTACGCACCCTCATGTTCCCTTTTGGGTTTGGGTAAGACTTATGATCGATGCCCACAACATAAGACACATTTCATGTTTGCCATTGCTACGGTTAAATGGTTTAATATCTATTTTTAGTCTTCTCCAACAACAAGATCCAAAAGATAACCCTTTCTGTAAATGGGTCTGCAGGAGAGAGGATTATCAAATTTGGGTTATACCTCTTTTGGCACCTAAAATATGTCTTCTATATAGGTACTCTGTTGGAGGCGGCCCCGTTCGGCTTACCCAGAAGCCGACTTGTTCGGCTTCTTTTTTCAGCCGGAACAGTGTTTTTCTCTCACAACAATTCAGCCAGAACAGTGTTTTTCAGCCAGTTTCAGTCAAGTTTCAGCAAGCCGAACAGGGCCTATAGGTATTATGTTGGAGACCCATTTTAAGTTTGAGTCTCCTTATAAGTCTTCTATTGGAGACAGCCTAAGCTTAGCCTGTCGAGCTGTCGTGTTCATCATCAAACAGATACACTTACCGATCTGATCTGATTGCTGCAGCTTACCTAAGATTTTGGAGCGTCTCGATCGGTCCATAAGTAGTTACGTACGTACTATATGTATTATTTTTTCTCGAATACGTAAAAGATTTTACGCATTATTATAATTAAGAAGAAGAATTTAACCATACAAACGACGTATTCTGACGAGCGTCCTAGAAGGTTTACCGGTGGACCATCCTAGTACTGTATGTATTATTAGCGATAACAGTTTATTCAAGGCCCTGCTTTCGCTCTTCTGTAGCTGGAGGGATCATGGACGGACGCACCGGGGACGTAGCTGACGACCAACTACCATCGCTACATGGTAAAGATCACAGAAACCCTGACGCCTGGTGGGCACGTTCGAGAAAAAAAAAAAAACCTGACGCCTGGTCCATGTCGTGCATGCGTATGTGATGGTGACGCTGCCACCTGTTTGTGAATTGTGAGCAGGGAGATGTGGAGATCCTGCAATCGCTGGGCGTCAACGCCTACAGATTCTCCATCTCATGGGCGAGTATTCCACCAAGTATGTATGCCAAGATCGATCGGATTGCTCATAATAAGTTAGCAAAGCTTTGCCTTGTCGGCTACTCGATGATCGATCGGTTCCTTACTTTGATGTGGACAACGTACTTATTTGTAGGAGGCCGGCTTGGTGCGTCAATGCAGGTGGGATAGCCTTCTACAACCTTCTGATTGATGCGCTCCTGCAGAAAGGTAGGCTGTTCTTGTCCTCCCGCAGCCCACAGGCACAAACAAATCTCGTTGTAGTCGTATCCATGTCATTCCACTCCAAGTCTTCGACACAGGTGGATACGATAGGAGTGTAGCTAAACAAGCACGTACACTTATATCTCAATCAGAGCTAGTTCACATGTTTGGTCTCTATATACTTATCTACTAATTAATCAGGGATCCAGCCATTCGTCACTCTGAACCATTTCGACATGCCGCACGAGCTGGAGGTCCGATACGTCGGCTGGCTGGGCGCTGGGATCCGGTACAGTTCCCATGCATCTTCTGCTGGCTCTAGTAGTCCTTTTGCCATTGCCACATATATTTCCAGAGACACTGCAGTTTCAGTCATGCATGACGACCTGGTTTGGTACTGACAAATACTCCTACTTACGCAGGGAGGAGTACGCGTACTACGCGGACGTCTGCTTCGGGGCGTTCGGCGACCGGGTGAGGTTCTGGACGACGTTCAACGAGCCCAACCTGTTCACCAAGTTCGAGTACATGCTGGGCGCGTACCCTCCCAGCCACTGCTCGCCGCCGTTCGGCAGCTGCAACAGCGGCAACTCGGACAGGGAGCCGTACGCCGCGGCGCACAACATCATCATGTCCCACGCCGCCGCCGTCCGCAACTACAAGGACAACTACCAGGTCCGGCCGCTCATCTCTGAACTCTGATCGATCTGCTGCTGTCTCAGCAGTGATTTCGTGATCATCATCGGCAATGCTGACGCGTGCGTACTCTGTTCTCAAGGCGAAGCAGGGCGGCTCCATCGGGATCGTGATCGCCATGAAATGGTATATACGAGCCGCTGACGAATACCACGGAGGACATTCTGGCGGCGCGACGCGCGCAGTCTTTCGAGACCGAGTGGTATGTCGCCAGCTAGCTCCCCACAAGGAATGCAACAATGCTGCTATGTCAGTCTTCACGAAAATGACATATACATGCAAGGATTCAGTCGAGTGCATGCGCGCATATATTGTTGAGTTTGTTTTGTTTTTTCAGGTTTTTGGATCCGATATTCTTCGGTGATTACCCCAGAGCGATGCGAGAGATATTGCAATAAAACCTGCCAACCTTCACCGCCGAGGAGAAGAAGCTGCTGCTGCGATACAAGCCGGATTTCATCGGGCTGAATCATTACACAGCGATTTACGCAAAGGACTGCATCCATTCGCCGTGCAACCTTCAGACATACGAAGGGAACGCGTTTGTCCCTGCGACCGGGGAAAGAGACGGGGTGAAAATCGGGAGAGACGTAAGAATAACTAGCACTTGGCATATACGTACTAATCATCAGCGCAGTCCTTCATTGTTCATATATACAGTACTTCTTGTATTACTTGCTTCGTTACTGTTCGTATACGGTGAAATTTGCCGCGCGCCCGTCTCTGATTTGTATTGTGAACCTCTCGCAGACTGCGCTGGCTGGTTTCTACGATGTCCCAGAGGCCATAGAGCCGGCTATCATGTATGTCAACGGTAGGTACAAGGACACGCCGGTGTATATCACTGAGAACGGTGAGCTACATACAGCTTTTGCTGGGACCTAGTAGGGATCGATGTCTTGGTCCAGAGTCATTTCCATGCATGCATGATCAATGGTCATATATATGTTCTGAGATATATACTTGTTTTCAGGTTTCTCACAATGGAGTGATGCCAACAGGGAAGAGCTGATCAACGACGTGGCAAGAAAGAACTACCTGCAGGGCTACGTCACATGCCTATCCAAAGCAGTCAGGTGACAATGAAGCTTACCAACAACAATCTAGAAGAATTTAGTCTTTTTCCATGGGTTCCCTTCACCTAGAAATCATGATAATAGGCTAGCTACCAACCAGAAGCAGAGGATCCGCTAGCAATTTTTTCTCTGACGAAATTTCAACCTGTCGATACTGAATACTTGCAGGAACGGAGCAAACGTGCGGGGCTACTTCGTGTGGACGCTCCTGGACAACTTCGAGTGGACGTTCGGTTACAGCATGAGATACGGCCTGTACCACGTCGACTTCGACACCCAGGAGAGGACGCCCCGGATGTCTGCATGGTGGTATCGGGGCTTCCTCACAGGCGACACTACCAGCCTGGTGACCGGCGAAGCGCAGGCACGGAGAGCAGACTCGTGATCCCTTCCAGGGTTCCAGCGATCGGATGCGTTGCTAGACAGCCGCGGGCCTCATCAGCACTCGTGCTCATCTGAGTCATCTCCGTCCTAGCTCGCCATACTAGAATGCGTGTGGTGTCCTGGCGGTGTGTATTGTAGTATATACTAGAACTAGAAAATATGCATCACTAGAAAAGGTACTGCTGCGTATATAGGGGATCATGCTGTACTGAGTGCTGCTCGATGGCGTTAATTCCAATTTGTACTAGATGCTGGCAGGTAGATGCTCAGACGATCTAAATGTCTGTCTGATATCATGGGTGTCGTAGTTCATAGACGGACGCCCACTCCGTTTCTGCTGAGAAACGCATTTTTTTTTGTGTGCGTGTGTGCCTGAGAAACGCATGTTGGTTCACTGTCGTCATTACGATCCAACGCCATTACCGTTGGGCGTTGGCGTTGATCAGTCACGACAGCGTTTACCGGGTGGGCAGGCTAGCTATAGCAGGATCCTACAAGGGTGTACTACTCAACCAAGGAGACAGCCAAGCTTCACGGCTCCCGCTTGCACCCAGAGCTCCGTCTTGATGTTGCTCAGGAGCAGGTCCAACCTCATGCTCGTGCCCTCGAAGCAGCGAGCGTTTCTGTCTTTCAAAATGTGCCAAGAGACTAAGGCGAAGAGGGTGTCGAAACTGCGTCGTTGTGTCCCAACCCACAGAATTCTTAGCCTGCGCCACCAGGCAACGATGGAGCAGCAGCCCATTGGGGAGGGGCACAACTTGCCTAGCTTGGTGCAGACGAGGTGCCAGTGCCAGAGCAGGACATGAATAGGTGGTCAGAAGTTTTTGGTTCCTGGCTGCAGAGGTGGAAGCGTTCATGTGCCACGAGGCCATGACGACGCCGCCGGTCGGTTGTCCTGTGTCGCCTGTGCAGTGCTAGCTAGAGGAACAATTTCAACCCACTGAGAGGAAAGTGTCGCTACTGGACCGCGCCCCACTACGGATGCTACTTCTACTCCGACATCAGTGGCCACGTCGCGGCGGCGCCATGGCCGCCACTGCATGTGGCTAGGTACACCACTAAGTCTTTATCTAAGTTATGTTTTACCCACTAGATCTACACCTAGATGAACCAAGAATTATATCAATGGTATCAGAGCCAGATTTCTTGTAGTGTGTAGATCGAATCTGGGGTAGAAAAGTGAATACAAATGTAGAAGGAGATGACAGTTTCCTAATTTTCCCAAAACCCTAACCCTAGATCACCACCGCCGGCCATCGCCTCGACGCCGCGCGGGAAGCCACCCCGAGTCGCCGCGGGCGCAAGAAGAAATAGTCTAACCTAATACTAACCCTAGAAGGGGAACGGACGGGAAGGGGGAGGAACCTACCTGGTATTTCCTCACCACCGTCGACGCACAGCGCCGTGAGCGGGAAGAAGGATCCGCCGCTGCCTCACCGGCACGCGGCAGAAAAGCCCGAGCCGCCGGCTCGCCGGCACTCCGCGTGCGCGAGCGCCCCCCCAAGGCACCGCCCGAGGGCCGCTCGACGGCGGCCCTCTCAACCTCCGACGTGCACACGCGTTGACGAGGGGCCCAACTGCAGCGCCGTCATCCCACCACCGTAGCGTGGGAAGATCACCTGAGCCTCCATCGTGCCGCGCACACGTGCTCAGGGCACCGTCGCTAGACCGCTCGACGGTGGCACGCTCACCCTACGGTGGGCGCACGCACCGGCGAGGGGACCGGCGGCGACGCCGTCATCTCCGACCGTCATGGTTTTCAGAGAGAAGGGAGAGAGAGAGCAGCGCGGTGAAGAGAGAGAGGCAGGAGAAGAGAATGAGCTCTAGTGTTCGGGGACCTGCGGACGACGCTCGTTTTTGTTCTTCCGATCTGGGTGGATAGTCATCGACCGCGATGAACGGCTGTGAATGCACGGGCTACATTCGGCCTAGGTGGGTTGGAAGAATCCCGGCCTAGGCCTAGGTTGCGGCGTGGGGCGTGGGGGACCGCAGCGTGAGAGGCCGTTGCGGGCCGTCTTTGCGATGCTGGGCCACGGCAACGGGCGGCAGCGCACTGGGCCACGCGCGTGCGGGCGGGCTGGCGGATGGGCCGTTGGGCCAATTTTCGCTGATAGCGCAGAATTATAGCAAAGCTTTGGTTTTATATTTTCAGAAGCAAATTTTTTTTTATGATTTTTGTCTAGTTTAAATCTCTGTCAAAATTTGAACCAACAGAATAATTTTTCAGAGAGTAGATGAGTACAGTAAAATACTTCTGAAAAGTAGATAAAGAATTTTTTCATGTTTCTGCTACAAAGTTTAATGCTGATTATTTTTTAATTAAATTCGAACCAACGGGATAATTGAATTTGAAGAGCAGCTACTTTTAGTAAATTATGATTATGTTTATCCTCTAATTAAATTAGAACCAACGAAAAAATTTAAATTTAAGGAGTAGTTCGATTTGTTTATGTTAAATTATGATATTGTTATTTTCTGACCAACGTTGATGATAACAATATTATAATGAGTTTAAGGTTGAAGTTTAAATCTCTGATAAATTTTACACCAACATGATCAATTTTTCAAAGAGTAGATAAAGACCAAGAAATGCTCTTAAACTAAGAGAATATATTTTATTATCGTGTTTCGCTGCAATGATGTTGATTATCTTCTAATTAAATTCGAACCAACGGAAGAATTTAATTTTGAAGAGTAATTATATGTCTTTCAAGTTAATTTATGAGTTTTATGCATTAATTCTATTTTCTACCCAACGGTGATGTAGAATTGATACAGAAGCATCTTGTAAGTTTTTTTTTAAATCGATGAGATCAGTTGCCTGCATGCCAATGGGCTGCAATGCTAGGATATGTGAATGAAAAGACTTAAGTCAAGCCAGTTCAGGATAGTTTTTTTTAGTTTACTAATTTTTTGATTAAATTGGAACAAATGGGAAGATTTAATTAGAAAATAAAATATAAGTGAATGTTTTAGTCATCATGACTAAATTTTTCGTTACGGTAATTTGTATATAGATTTATTCCGCATGGGGAGAAGTTTGGTATAGTACTTATGCTAGTCAATCCAGCATGGCGGGAGAAGTTTTGTGATGACTCATATGTTTTTGTATCCCGCATAGCGAAAGAAGTTTGAATATCTCTTATGCTATCCTAGTATTGACCATGGCACAATAGAAATGCACCGTCATGGTCAATACTAATCAAAGGATAAGAAAAAGATGTAAGCATGACTTGCAAAAGTACAGTTAATAAAAGACCTCGTCGAGTTCTTGATGTGGAATGAGGAAAGTGTACTCTTATACGGATCAAGAAATAACTTTATTTACATGGTATAATCATGTGAATGAAGTAAGTCATAAGTGTCTCCTCATCCATAGTTTTCTGAATAGTTCTCGAAATTATGGCAGTATAGTCTATGCCATATTTCGAGGGAGGGAATTGTGAGATGAATTAAGAGTAAGAATTAAGATCAATTAAGAAACTACTCTTCATTAAGAGAGATAAAGATTTTGATGAATGTGACTGTCGGTCATAACAATGATTCCCCTAAGCAGAGAAACAGCTAAATTCCTAGATTTTTTGAAGTTCCTAGAGGAAGATAGCGTAGTCACTAACAAAGATATTAAAGCGGTGCTTAAAGCGCCATATAAGGTTTTAATAGATTGAACCCAAATAAAAAATTGAAAGATACACTATCTTTATAAAAGATGGGATGATCTTGGGGAGCACGGTATGTAGAGACCTATGACTTGAAGAGAAGCAGGATTGCGTGCCCACTTGAGTGATTCAAAACAATGAATTTCTCGATACCTGTTGATGTTGTATGACTTATACAACACCTGTTGTTGGCTCTTCGAAGAAGATGAATAATGTAAACAAGGATCTTGTGATACAGGAGCCTGTAGAATCAATTGCCTCTTGGCAATGAAGAGCAACAACAACCCCACACGAAAATGCCAATAGCTAAGGCCCTAGAAGGTCTCAAAGAATTAGTAAACCAGTTTTCTAATGACTATGAAGTCTATGTTAGTGAAGAAATTCAAATGAAGGATGATCCCACCTCATTTGAAGAAGCCATTCAAAGTGTTTACTCGTTTGAATGGCAAAAAGATATGAAAGTTGAAATGAATTTGATGAATACCAACGATGTTAGGAACTTAGGAGAAATTTCTAATAGAGCCAAAACAGTAGGCTATAAAAGGGTCTACAAGACAAAATGTGACTCTAAAGGGAATGTGGAAAGATATAAAGTATGACTTGTAGCATAAAGCTTTACGCAAAGAGAATAAATAGATTACGATGAGAGTTTTCTCTCCATTCTCATGCAAAGATTCTTTTAGAATCATAATGGTGTTATTGGCACATTATGATTTAGAGTTACATCAGATGGATGCAAAGACGGCATTTCTCAATAGGGATTTGTATGAAAACGTTTACATGGCACAACCCAAATATTTTGTCTTGGAAGAAAAAGAATGTATGGGATGCCGCCTGTAGAAATCCATTTATGGGTTAAAACAAGTCTCTAGATAGTAGTATTTGAAGTTGATGAAATAATAAGAAAGTTTGGGTTTAAAGAAAATAAGAAGGGCAATAGCGTTTATGTGAAGTTCA